CCACAGTTGTGCTCTATTCTCTATTTAGGAATAAGCATTATTATTACTAAGCTGACTTTTGGGCAACATATAGTGAAAGTTTTGGTTTTAGACGGGGTGACTGTTGGCCCGTTCAGCAATCTTGGAAAGTTTTTTGTGCACTTCTCGTTACTGACCATGTAATTCGATCGGGGCAACATTGTACTCAAACAGACGGTAATTGTTTTGACTAACTGGCCTTGTGAGCCAGTCAATATCTGCCTGGTCTGCTCGGGTGTTGTGAGTGTTCAGTCCATTGAATATATCTTTGAATGCTTCTGCCTTCCACAGTAGGTCACCGTTAAATATATCTTTGAATGCTTCTGCTTTCCACTGTAGGTCAGCATTATCAAGCACTATTATTGAGTAAAACACAAAGAAATTATTACGCATGGTTTAGTTTCAGATCGATGGTGACGTTACCTTAAGTGCTGCGACGGTGCACCTTGTTGTAATAATACTTGAGCGGAAGTGAAGCAAATAAATTTAATTTCATGCCACTAAAACAACCTTTAGGTGATTTATCAGCTCTCTAATCGCTAAGGCTAGTTTTACCCACAAGAAGCCCAGGTGCTTGCGCCTTTCTCAAGCTGCGTTATATAGATTAGGCCTTCTCATGCCTTACTCGTCGATAGCACATTGTGAACCTGTGCGGACGGAACCATCTATCGCTTTGTCTAAAAATGTGCGGTAAACGTCACAAAATTGCCTCCTTGGGCGTATGTACGAATAAAATACAACGTGTTGACGCTGGTATGGCTTCAGAATTTAAAAACACGGGAATAATTTCTAGTGGGCTTTGATATTTGAGACTTACTTAAATTGTCCCACTGTAGCAATCGTGACCGTCTTTCCAAAGATGAGGAAAGAAGGATTCAAGATTTATTATGGTTAGATGGATATTGAAATGTAAAAAATGTGTATGACGGAGGGCCCACCAAATCAAACTCGAACAACCCGAATGTTCAAACAGACAACGATACTGATCTGTACATATCTTTCTGGTTGGTGAGGCACATATGGACATTGGTCTTGTTCACACTGCAACACAGGCCCTTGTGGACATTTTGACTGCAAATGTATGAGCTTACGAGGCAATCTGCATACGCAGCTTACGTGAACGAATGGACTGTTTAAATTGCTGGGGTTTACCATTTTTATCCCACATTTAACGGCAACAACCTAACGGAGGTGGGAGCTTGAGCAAAAGGGATTATTTGAACTTCTGAAAGATTCCTGTTGGTACAATGCAGTTTAAACTTTCCGTCATTTCTCATTATTTTCCTTGTGCAAACCGATTCTCGGCCGTTAGATGCTCGTTTCTCCAAGACTTTGTGGATCGAACAGAAACTGTTGCATTTTGCCGGCTGTATACTCATCTGAAAAATGGTCATCTGTCCTGGGTTAGTTGGAAGTTGTTTCAAAAAATCGCTCCTCTTAAGGTTTGGTGCACATTCAATTCTAAAAGCCAAGGCTGTTGTGACAGATATGGACTCAGATAGGCCTGTTGACTGGTTTTTATCCTTATGGCATTTGGTATTCGTGCATGCGGTGTAGAATCGAAGCACTAGCGTTGTTTGAGTTACGAGCGGGTGCAATACAAGTGCAGCAGGTGTCCAGCAGAACCAACGAAATGTCGGAGGATATGGAGAAGCCAGTGAGTTGCGTTCGTCTGCTGGTAACAAACAGTCCACGAAACACCGGCTGTCCGTTTTGTTTTTGTTTACGAGGTACGAGAACCATCTCATAGTCATACCTTATTGTCCAGAACACAGTCACAAGGTTCCCATGTTTTTGCTCAATTGGCTTCCGGTGAATCAACGCCAAACCGAAGAGAATTTTGGCCCCTGCAAGGCACTACCGAAGTGTGAAATGCCGTCGTGTCAAATGTGGCGGTTTGCAGCAAGTAAATTTGGCAATGTCCCCACGACACAGGACACACAGTGCCGTTGCCACAAGTTTCACAAGCCATCCGTGCAAAAGAATCGCAAGGAATCACATGAAATGCGAGCGTGGTAACCTTGAAAACATCGTCGTTTTAGATAAATCGATTATGTCTGACAAATATCAATCGACTTTGTGAAAAATTAGGCCCCGTAGGATTTGACTTTTTGTGCGCCCTTTGAAATATCTTGTAAAATGCTTCAACAGCTGGGTGTGGTTAAACTCTCAACTTTTGCAATCGATTGTGTACCACCTTAACTGGGTAAGAGTGAAGCGAAAAATGTCCCTGCTTCGGGAGGCTTATGGCGGTAGCAGTGGTGGAAATTAAAGTGTCTCACAAGTGTCTCCCATACCCTTAGATCACATGCTTTTGCTTAATGAAAGCCTACAGATAATTAAGTATCATTAATTAGGCTCTTTTCCTGAGTATTTATTAAAGAGGCAGTCATTGTTTGTTTCAGACAGTTCACGTGAATTTGTCCGGCGGGGACACGTTTGATGGTTTGGGAAACCCGATCAATTTATGTCGCGCCTAATTACATAAGTTCATGGAATGTTAAAAACGGGGAGAATCCGTAAGATGTGCCAACTTGTGCCTTTTTGTCATTTTGTTCGCCGGCACCGAGAGTTTTTATGCCTCGTTTCTAGTTCTCTGCTTGCATTTGTGCCAGCTGTACGACTATCTCAGGGTTCCTAGAAAATGAGTAACTCCAAAGTTTTTGCAAGAGTAATACAACATCATCCTGGCCGAAGTCATACCAAAGCCAGCTGTAGTGGGCTAACGGTCTTTTCGAATGACGCGTAACGCCAAAACCTCCTGGAAGGCCAAACAATGTCGGACCTGGGTTTCTATACGGTGCTATTGATTTAAGACATATATTCGCAAGGTATACAAACCTCGACAGTAGACAAAACAAATGGTTCATTCGGAATACAAAAGTACGAACCAAATGAGGAAGTAGGCCTCCAAGTGGGACGGCCACACGTGCATAAAGTCCGCCACCAATGGCTGGATGACCTCAAGGCCAAATGAGTTAAGTGGTAGAGATAAACTAACGCTAGTTCATATACACGCGCTAAACACAAAAGTGGAGAGGCGGTTACGAATAGGGATAGAATAAACGTGGGAAATTTCAACTATCAACGTAATGAGCGATACGCTGACAACATTAGCGCACCACTGAATCGGGTTTAACTCACAATTGACTGAAGACTTATGTTTTGTGTGTTACGCGACCTATGGTTTGCATACCAGCTCCCACGTTTCTGTCGGGTCTGCCGCTGAATAAGAAACGTGAAAACCAGTAGTCCGAATACGGTCAAAAATCCTCGCGCCAAAATGTATACACCTCGTAACTGTACAGAAAAAAAACAACAGCAGTCTACCGCGTAAATAGTACTTATACAGGGACGCCACTCAGAAACGCCCAGGTCAGATATGCCCCGCTGCGAACTGCTCACTAGCTTCACACCGGATAGATCGACCGTAAGGTGCGGGCTGCAATGGATGGTCTGCGTAAACTTCACCGCAGACAACCTCAAGAGCAACCCAAGAGATTATCAAAGCGCCAGTTATGCAAACGACACACGGCCACCATCTTTGTAAAAAGTTGGGCGACCCTGACCCCGTTTTGAGAAGGGCCGCTTCGTTCATGGCATAACCAACTAAAACCCACTGTACAAATTCAGCCTAACCGAAAGAAGAGTTAACCGCTTAAGGAGGTTTCGCAATCGCTGAAATATTTCAAACATCGATGTAGAGTTCCAAATCCCTGATTTAACAGCCAACAATATCTTTCCGCTCGGCCATCAAATATGTTTGCTGCTGAAGCCAGTTGATCGCGGAGATAAGACGTAAAGGCTCATCAAATGAATGTAACGAACAAGTGTTGGCATTGGTCTCATTTTAAAAGCACCTTCCAAGATGTATCATTGAGTGAGCGGATCGGGCGTGAGACATCATGTTCGCGTTTAGCCAAAACTGAGAAAGACACCCGCATTCATATCAAGAAACTAGCTGCTGAAAAATTCTTCCTAGAAAGAGCCCAAATCAACCTAATCACTGTCCACCGGTTCCTGGTGATATACCAGTGAGCAACGATCGGAAAAGTTCGTTTATTATACGCTCAGCTCTGTAGTTGACTGCCCGGAGACCCGGCATTATTTGATTAACAGCGCCTCCGCATGGTTTGATGGGTTTCTCCTCCTCTTCTTAGTGGCACTTCATTCGGGAACACTGTAAAATTTTCTCATGTTTGCCGTCGTACACCTGAGCAAAAAGCAAAGTTTGGATATGAGGGGCAAGTGAGCATCCAAAATGTATCCATCTCGTATCCGATTCGATTAATGAGGTTCAAAAAATCGAATTCTGGTGCAGTTGGGCGCAAAGGACATCTATACGACCAACCTCGGGGTCAATAGCATTCGTGCCATTAAATCACCAGCCGGCTAGTCATAACGAACCGCAGAGTCCAATCTTCGACCGGGCCCCGAATCCCGGCCGCTGTGCTCTAATAACGGCAAAACTCGAGTCCGACGCTTCCACTCTGCGACATGGTGTAAATGCTTCACAACACAAGGGTAACGTTCGGATTTCACCACTTTAGTAACCATACGAAAGAAAGATCGTAGTACTTACGGCTCACCTGCGTATCAGCCAGTAATTAGAGCTCGCCTTCACTTTCAGTTTGACTTATGTCATGCGTTGTATGTATGCATCTCGCACACGCATCTACACCTGTGAGCACATCACCAGTTAGCCATGTGAATGAAACATAAGCCAGTCATGAGAATTTCGAACTTTCGAAATTGCTTCAATTGCAAAACCAAATTGATTTTTCTGGAGTGTTAAGTACCGGTGCGCATGGTTCACACTCACACGCACACAAAAAACCCACAGACTCACATAACTTAATCACTATATCAAAGAGTTGACACGTGATGCCTTAATCCTATGCTGGCATGTCGTCGGTAACTTCTCTTAGCAAAGTGGAATTTGCGATGTACTATATATTTCAAATCACGCGCGGTTGACACTACAAACCGACTGGAACGTTTCCTACTCAAACGAGTCGATGGAGGGCCGGGATTCGAAGAAAGCGCAGGTCATCAAGGCGGAAATGGATCTGGAGCTTCAAGATGAGGCTATCCACACCGCCGCGGAAGCTTGCGATCGATATGACGAACTGAGTGAGATCATTGAATTCGTGAAGAAGGAATTTGACAAAAAACATGGCTCGAGCTGGCATTGTTTTGCTGGAACAAGTTTTTGCAGGTGAGTTGCTGGACGGTGCAAAAATAGTCCCACCATCGCTTTCTTGGTTGCAAAGACTTTGCGTCAAATAGTGCACAAACTTCAGAGGAAGATCTCCTTTTCTTGGATTGCGTAATGGCATTTGCTGGAACTGATCTGACGAAAGTGAGCGAGTTCATGCTAGATAGATAGGCCCACTCCGTTGGTTTTAATTCAGGGAGCTAGTAACTCAAATATAAATTAAAAAACTATAGCAGTTAGTCCACCTACACTCGAGGATTATACAGGAAAGCGCCGATAATAGTGCGCTGTCGAGCGCGCGACTGCTTCTTGACAAGCACGAACTGAGCGGTTACATGCTATCAGATAGTAAAATGAAATTTCCGTTTGCACAGAATTTTGAAAGATTCGGAATTTTGAAGTTTTTTCAAATATCTGTGAGATGCAAAGACGGCGCTTTAGATTACTTTGTCCGAAACCACTAGCACGTTCCATGAGTAGTATACATCGTTACGCTGTCTTTAAAAAATCAACCGTTGTCGTACTTCGATCTGTTTATCTTCAGATCGAATGTATCGTTTACAAGGACGTAATGAATGTTCTTTTAGTCCGATCAAACGAGTTTGTGGATAAATTTATCCTTATCGAGAGGCATACACTGGTGGATGGTTCACCTGGGTCTTCATTTCGAACCGAATTGCTGCGTAAATGATTGTAGTTCGAAACGTTCATACAACTTGGGTTCGAGTAGAATATAAGCCTGACTTGGGTGTAACTCGAGAACTGCACCAATCCGATGAGCCCAGAGGAGACAGGAGAAAACAGTTGTGGGCCTTTGAACGGTTTTCTGCAATCTTAAGACTTGTAGCGGACTAGGACCTTATCAGCGTGTTCGGATAAATTAACAAGCAAAGTAACCAATACAAAATCACAAAATCACAATAGGAAAGGAATGAGTAGTCACGACCATCATTCAACGCGGTAGTTGGCAAGGTATATTCCATGTGGGCATAAGACAATCTGACCACGTGAACTCGCTGATAATTTGCGATATCATCCATTGCTCAACATAGTTGATTTTTACCGACCTGATTTGCATGTGATTTCATTCTACCAAAAGCACTGTTAGTTTCAACATCGCGATGCATTTACACAACCTGGCACGCTTGTTATCCATTAAACCTACGCTTGTGTTTATTTTGATGGAATTTCGGTGATAAACATTGTATTTGTTGCTTCACGTGATCCATCAGTCGGTATTTCTGCGGCACGAGAATGCCAGTGTGAGTGAGCGTGGGTGGACTTCGGCCGTAAGACATTTTTTAGGTTGAGACTGTTTGAAAAGGCTGACAAAGGAGTATAGTTATACGAAGCACGACACAAACACAGTGGTCAGAGCGCAGACTGAGTGACCGAAAGGTCCGTGGTTCGAACCTGACCTTTGCTTCTCGACCTCCCCTGTCTAGGCCTGAACAATCTGGCAGTATCCCAGCTCTCGTTCCTCCTTCATGTGGCATGGTAGCAAGGCACCGGAAGGGTGCTACAGCGGAACGAGTGAATACATCACAAAGTAATTAGACGCCTTGGCAGAAAGGCATTTCGAGACGCCGCCAGCGTCTACACCAGTGACGTCAGATGGTAATGTCCGGTCTGGACTTTTGCGCGTAGGCGCTGTTATGGGAACGCGTTGGGTTTTTCGCCATGGGCTTCCGTACGACACTGATGNGGTTCAGCTGCTTAACAACTCCTGCTCTTACCTCGCTCTCATCACTCTCCTGCTTCCCCAACCTGATTTGACTGGGAGGTGTTCGACAAACGTCTGAGTCTCATGAGACAGATATGCCATGTTTCACTTTCGAAATCTGAAATCAAGCCACGTGTGCCAGCAAGACAATAAGCTTGCTCTGTACGAGGGAAGAGATAAACTTGACCTCTTGACCCAACATCTCGAATGGTGAGATGACTCTGTATCTACAGTGCAGAGGCAATTTCATGCAATACACAGGTGTTGAGTGCTGATTAATCTTACTGAACACTAAAGGAATTATTTGGACAGGAAAGCAAACTCTCATATGCATCGTTTGAGTCTGATGAGACAGATATGCTATGCTTCACTTTCGAAATGTGAAATCAAGCCACGTGCGCCATGTCCAAGTCATGGTAAGCTTGCCCTGTACGAGGGAAGGGACAAATTTGACGCCTTGACCCAATATCTCGAATGGCGAGATGACTCTGTATCTAACCTGCAGCAGTAATTTCATGCAATATACAGGTGCTGAGTTCTAACGAGTCATACAATTACACAACACCCGGTTAATCCTACTGACCAGTTACAGATTACTGGACAGGGGGGCAAAACCCTTCTATGAATCTTGTTTATAAAAATTGTGTATACGTCTTCTTTTCGAACGCGTCTTCCGGAATATTCCTAGCTATCTCTGAAACGTAAACGAATGCTTCAAAGCGATTCCGCCAATTCCGTAATAAATCTCACTTTTCAATTGACGCGAAGTGGAGTTATGATAAAGCCACATACTATACTAGTCGCTCATCAGTACTATCCACCGTTACACTAGTAGGGTTTCGGTGCAGAAACCTTTGAAAAATTACAAATGGGTCCTAGTAATCTAATCTTCATCTTTTAGTGGAAGACCGCAACTCACAGCCAAGCTCGTGCTGCTAAATTGAATGGCTTTTGGCTGCCTTCCGAAGTTTACCAGCCCGCATTCACCGACAGGTGAACATTATTGGTTGTAGTACCAGTCTTCATGGAACCAGGTTGGGGATATAGCTGACTCTGTTGTGCACTGAGCTAAGCAAATGAAGCCCTTTGAAGTGATGACAAACTTCCTTCTTAAGACTTCTTAGAGAGTAACAAATGAAGCTTCGGGAATGCACATGTGAACTCAGCGGGGATTATCCAACCAGCCTCTTCATCTGGTTCGTTAGAAATGCGCAGATTCAACTGAGGTTTTGGGACACATTTCAAGCGTTTTTGAAACTCCATACTGCAAAGAGACAGAGTGATTCCCTTGGTATTTTTGCCTGTTTCTGAGGCGTTGATTGCTTGGGGTCCTCGAAGCATTGGTTTTAACCACTGAATGTTCTATCCTGCGTCATTGTGACCAGGTTGGCCGAATAGATCATTATGTCAATTTGATGACGAATAAGGAGATAAAACATTATTGTACCTTTTGTAATGCGATACTACTCATATGGTTGCTGAAAATTGTTCGCAGAATTTTAATCACATCACAAACGAGAGATTCAGCTGGGTCCCAATTGCAAATGAGTGTATTTCGCTGAGAATCGTGATTTAGTCGCTACCTGCTGGTTCACCCAGCCGCGAGTTTCTGGACTACTGACTACATTCGCACACTGTTGATTGGGAGACCTGTCAGTTTGTGTCCCGGGCTACACACAGCTTAACGAAGCCTTGCTGAGGACTCAAATCGGGCGAATAAGCGTGCGAAAGGCGCCAGTAGCGAAGGGTCCAGGACTTATTCGATGCTCCTAGATGCAAATATTCTGGTTAACTGAT